CCTTTCCAAAAAAAAAAAAAAAAGTAGAATAAGCTCTGTAAGCGACGTAAAAATACCTTTAGCTTTTGAAATTTTTTTAACGTCGTAAAATGAAGCAGTATTGCGATTTGGTCAACTGCAAACTCACATGACGTCATAAATTTCAAATCATTTTCAGGAGACAGCACTTTTCATTGCAACTTCAGCAGGGAGCGTTGAACTGGTTAAACATTTTCTAGAGAAAGGAGCCAAAATTGATGTGGTGAACAATAAGAAGGTAAATGTTATTTGAAGCATACAATGAACTTTGAAAGTGAAATTTTTAAAATTTAATACGAGGAATTCTACTATGCTTTAGAAAGTTTGTGTGGTTTATAAGATGTATAGCAGCTACAGATATCGCTAATTATAAATAAATTGATATTTAGTTAGGTATAGGTAGTTGCCTTGTCACTTTCTTGAAGGCTACTGGAATTTTTCGTTGCTATTCTGCTGCCACGCGGGACTTTACAGTTGGATAGTTCATTTCAGGAGACGGTTAATACAATACCAAACCTCAAACTTGGGTAATTAAACCATTTAGTAACAAAGTCATAAAACGGAGTGCATGAGTTAGAACATTACAACACTAAAACAGAATCATAAGTCAAACATACAAATTAAAACATTGAAAAACCGTTAGTAATACAGATCACTCCAAAGTAAAACTCGTTTCCCCGTCCTTGGGATCTGGCTATATATACACTTTCCTTGGTTTAGGCGGGGTTGAGATTCCCTTAGATCTGACCCCGCCAGATTGATCCGCTTTCCCGGAGCGCCATCAAACCCGCTTTCTTAATCTTTCTGCTCCCCGGCTCTGGGAGCTCTTCTTTGAACCGTCTCCTCGTCCCCCTTGAGCCTGGGAGTGTTCGCTTGACGCGACACTAATCTAGCAAGCGCAAATTACACGTTTTCCCCTTTTTGCAACTTTTCTTGTCACTGCTGTACAACGCATTTTATGCGCGAAGGAAGTAGAGTTATCATTCCTAAACCTTTCTGGCATACAGTACGAACTCTACAAAAATTAATCTCTTATCTGACGTAAAAAGAAGTTACAATTTCTGGACCACTAAGAATTAGAACAACACGTTCGATGAATTATACTCTGGTCTAATATTCAAACTATTGTGTAAGGTAGTTACTCAAAAAGACATATTGAGAGTTGATCAGTAAACGGAATGTTATCACATCTTGCGAAATTGAGCAAAAATCGATCTAGAACTACAATGCCCAAATCGAAATTACGGAGAGTGCTAAAATCTAAAATGAAAAAATTGAATAGTGTGAACTACTGTTCAGATTCATTAGTGATTCTGATTGAGCACTCATTTCTTTCGATACAAGTATACCTAACACACCAGAAAAAGGTCTCTTGACGAATCATTCAAGCACATACCTGAAATTTTTGAGGTATTAAACAGCAGATATCATATTAAACGTCTCTTCTCGTTTTACGACTTGTGTTCGTAGAAAAAGTTTTTATTAAAAGTTCACTTATTTAATTTAAACTCTCACCAGTATAATCTTTCACCTAAATTATTACTGATGGAAACCAGTAACTGCTACAGCGAGCCTGAGCGCGTTATATCTTGGAAAGTCTTAACAGTATGAGGAAGGGCTGTTTGACAAACTTTTCTGGAGTAAACAGTTTTTTTTCATGTGAAGTGTTTAGGCTAGAAATAGTTAAAAATGAAGGAAACATTTTGGAATAAGAGCGTTTGAAAATGTATAATTTAGCACAAAATAACCATTTTCAAAAGGAAAATTGTGTAAAGTGGAAAAAATGAGTAGAATGAAAAAGTTTAAACTGAATGAACTTCCTGATAACCGCCACAGTAAATCATAATCATCTGTTGTATAGAAATGGAATTGAACTACGGAATATGCAGTCTCTTTTTTTTTTTTAAAGGAAACACCGCTGTTGATCGCCACTTTATTAGCATACACTGATCTGGTTACATTTTTGGTTGAGAGGGGAGCCAACGTCAACGCGAAGAATGAAAAAAGAGTATGACTTTATGAATAATTACAAAAAACAATTTCATTGTAGCTTGGAACGTCTCTTACTTTGGATCAGATATATCTGTAAAAATAATTATCTCTGAAAAAAATCCTAGTCTTTTTGTTTTAATCAAGAAAAAATTTTTATAATCTTCAAACTGACAAAATAAGCATTTCATATACGAAGACTTTTTGGCTCTCATTTTTTCATAAACGCTCTTCCACTAGACATTTTTTGATCACGGCGACACGATTATGAATGATTTTTTTTCAGGAAACCCCGTTATCAATCGCATCATTAATGGGACACATTGACCTAGTCAAATTTTTTGTGAGTAATAGAGCAGAGATTGATGCACAAGACTCAAACGGAGTAAAAAATAATAATTTTTTTTAATTAAATCGTTAATTAATTTCTAAAAACTCCTTTCTTGCTAGATTTGAGAAAAGATTTGTTTGCAATTTTAAAACGCCAGTTTGGAAAAGTTCGCATTTCAGTTCCAGTTTCTTCAATAAGCCTCTGTGCTTTCTCATGCTTACTATTTTCTTTCCACACCTTATAAAATTTTGCTACTTTACTTAAAAAACTTTTTGAACTTAAAACATGAAGAAACCGGAAAAACGCGAAAAAAGCAGGAATTTTACGATTTTTATCGAAA